GCTAAGTTTCAATGGTATATTCATACTGGCTAAACTACGAGCTACAATTTTGTCTATACAGAAAAGTGAATAAAAACACAAGTTTAAATAACATAGTCTATTTACATCGTTACATATTTGGACCGGATTAACTTTAGAACTCCGTTCCGTTATTTACAAAAATAGAGTAGGTAAGCCAGATATTGTATACAATAACTTTCAATGATCTCAATGTGAAGATTGTAAAATTTAAAAATATTTTGAATACATAGTTGAAATTGCTAAATAGTAGTAGTAAAAGAGAAAATATAACAGATTTCGATAAAACTAACGCGACTTAACTATCGATACAACCCATTCAAAATCCATTGCTAAATATAACCTCAAATTTACAAAACACTTTTTTAAAATAAAACTGAAATGACAATTGAATTTACAGTCCATTTTTTTATAGGATAGGATGAGAAACTGAGCATACAGTCCACCTGATGGTAAGTAGTTGCTGTGGTCCATAGACATCTACATCTATCTTCGAGTACGAATCAAAAAGCGTATGCGTTGTCACCCGTGAGGACTAAGATGGAATGCCTCGTTGCCACTTGATGGTAAGAGGATACTGCAAACCAACACATCAGAAACTAACAAACACAGAAGGTTACAGATGCGTCGTCACATTTGAAGACAATGATGGAAGGCATGGGCCTGTTATTGTATTGGCTCTTTATACAAGAGGGTGCCACCTTCCTAGGCGGATTTCTCGGTATAAGCGAGTAGACCGGTAGAAGATCCTGAGGTAGGATCCGCAGCTCCCGCATCACATCAGGTCGTTGCTCTCCACTGCGATTGTCGGTACACTACATTTTTAATAACTTTCTCATCCATCGCTTTTTTACATAAGGAGCAAGCAAGCATACAGCTCATCAGATAAGTGTCATCGCTTGCCGTTTATTCCATTTATATGATCAGCCGGTTGCTATTTAAGCTTAATGACCTATTGGGCTATGCCGTTTACTCTGGTTATGATGCGAGTATTCTCTTTATGGATTTTATAACTCAGCGCAACCCAGGCTTAGGACGCTCCAAGAAATCTCGAACTGTGAATTTTATGAACGCGGTTTATATTCCGTGTACTGAATCTCTAGCACACACTGTGAATTCCTTGCAATTTTTGTCAGTTCTCTATAGTTCTCGGCAAAGACGCCTGTTTTTACAAATGAACCACGTGATGAACATGTATGTATGTCCAAAATCTTAATTCTAACTTGAATCATGATTATACCTGTTACTACGACGTCGAAAAGGTGTCAAAAGATAATTTCTTATGTTTACGCGAACACGACACATTTAAATAAAACTATATAGTCTTTATTTAAATGTGTATTGAAATTAGGATGTTTTTTAATTTCAATAAGCACGCAAATCATCCATGGAAGGAATCGGTGTTCTTTAACGAGGATTTGCGGTCTATTGATCTGGTGTAAAGACTACAGACTTCGAAGTCAGTAGTCCGTGAACATGATTTCTACCGCGCGAATTTTAAATCACCAAGGCGAGTACATCTATGACTATCAGAGTACAGAAAGAGAGTACGAATCCTATCCAACTGCAGGGAGGTTTAATACAGGGTGACGTTATATCCCGAAGCTCTTCACCGCTGCAGTGGAAGACCTTTTTAAACTACTGGACTCCGAACGGTTTTAACATCAATGGTGAGTATATCGCTCACCTTCGATATATAGTCCTTACGGCAGAATCGCTGGAGGACCTAAGCACTATGCTCAATGACCTCAATAGCGCCTCCCAACGGATAGGTTTCAAGATGAACATGGACAAAACAAAGATCATATGTAACATCCATGTGACAACTATGCCGGTAGTTGTTGGGAGCACTAAGCTCGAAATTGTTGACGAGTACGTTTACCTGGGACAAACAGTCAGACTAGGTAAGTCCAACTTCGACCCTGAGTTCAATCGACGAATTCAATTAATTCAATCGGTGAGATTATGACACATACTCTCGTCAGGTATACCTCAAAACCTGAAAACAAGATTGTACAACCAGTGCGTGCTGCCAGTAATGACTTATGGATCTGACACATGGTCATTCACTAATGGTTATATGAGGAAGCTCAAGGTCAATCAGCGAGCTATGGAGAGAGCTATCCTCGGGGATTCTCTGCGTGTTAGACTTAAAAATGAGGATATCCGCAGTAGAACTAGAGTAACCGACATAGCCCAACGGATTAGTAAGCTGAAGTAGCAATAGCTCGAAGAACCGACAACTGATGGGGAAGAAAGGTTCTCGAGTGGCAGTCTCGTACCGATAGGCGAAGTGTAGGGCAGCTCCCCAATATATAGAGGGACGACCTCGAAAACATGCAGGAAGTCGATGGATGCAGGTGGCTCAGAACAGTGCTTCGTGACATTTCGTAGGGGAAACTTAAGTTCGACAGTGGACTAGTGAAGTGCTATGATGGTGATGGTGATAATGATAAAAAGGACGAAGCGTGTGCTTAATATATATGAATGATTCCATGTGTTACAGAATTACGAAAACAAAAACCGCGCGGTTTTTGCGCAATATGGGCTTAGTCTTCCAGCTCGATGAACAACTCTCAGCTTTCTCAAACAGCTTGAAATAAAAGGGCATATTATGTGACACTACTGCACATAAATTTAATTATAATGAATGGGATTAGAAATGGCGTCGCATCGTGTCCGTACCGTCAACATGCACAGTACCAATAGCAAAAACCTGCTAATAAAATTATATTAATGGGAAAATATCTCAATTTTAAAAATACCAGTATTTGGTCGTGAAGTTTTATTATAATAGGTTCAGCCATTCCGAAGATTAGCTTGGACAGACAGACAAACGAAACTTTAAAAAATTGTTACTTATGTTTCAATGGCATGTACATATTTTATACAAAAATATTAACAAACAAAATCAACAATAATTATGAAGAAAACTCTCAGAACACAAAAAATTCAGTCTGATTTCGCTAATTAGATTATTTTTTTTGTAGTTTATGCTGTTTTATTATCATTGATTGGACTAAAATTATAGAACGTACGAAAAACGCATATCGCAATGTATTTTTTTCAGTCTACCGGCGGTTGTGTTGTGAGTAAAGATAGCGACAGTGTGAGAGCTAAAGGTGAATAGTGGCATCGTCATTTCCAATCCCATTCTTTAACCGCACGGGTAGTACATGATATTGTTAACATTTTATACCTTTACTGAGTAAAAATTGAATAGCTTTTAGAACCCGAATGATCCCAAGTAGCCGTAGTACTATTTGTATAGCGATTGCACACTACTTGTATTAACGTTAGCCATCACGTGAACGTTGTTGGTGGTGGTTTGCATCCACAAACGTTATAATAACAGTGCCAAAAGTTTAAGTCATACGAAAAGACGTAAGCGTTGTATGCAAAACAGCATCAGAATGACCAAAACTTTCGAATCTCAATTGTAAAAGCGACAATCGTATCGGACCCAGTACACGATGAAATTGCGAATTCGGCCCAAGTTTTCTAGATTTATGTTAAATGGAACTCAGTTCGGATGCAGTGCGCAAACGTTCTAGGAGTAAAGAAATCTGGTAATAAAACGTATTTGAAATAACATAATGAACTCTACATGAAATATACCCAAGTACTAAGAAATCTTTGTTTATTTTTTTTTAAATATCAATTTTTAGACGTACATGAATTATAAAATTAATACCAATGCCATTATAAAGCATAGACCACCTACGATCACGTCTTTATTTGGAACCACCGGAATCAATTGGAGAGGATGTGTTGTGCACTGGCAACACAGAAGGAATGATATGGTTAGTGAAAGTTAAGCACATCACGTATTATAAATGTATATTGCAGGACCAAATTCAACTACAAGTTCCCTACATTAATAATTTTTATTTATATATTGACCTATGTATTTTATGGTTTAGACGGTTTTCCTTTTAAATTTTAACAAGAAAACGATGAAAATGTCATCACAAGGAAACCTGTATACCTGGAAAAGTTTTTGGGGAATACCTTCTATGGAGTAGCGCAGTGGGTAAATCGCTTTACAACCCTCTTAAAAATAACTTGAACATTACAGTATATATTTAATAGTATGAAGATAACTAAAATAATAGAATTTAATGGCCGGTTTTCTTTGTAATTGTTATAAAGAAAACCTTTATTCACGTTAGGACACTATTCCTTCACGAGATAATAAAAATTTTCTTTTTGGAGAAAAATCGAATTGATATCGAGTATATATTAAAATTACTTTAAGTAAATTCTATAAAGTAATGTTGATGTGGTTAGGTCGCGTATTGTGAACGTAGTCCAAACTACATCAGCGGTCTATGCTAATTAGTCTTTGGTTAATGCAAACAAAGTTCAAGGAACAATTTTTTACAAATAAAACAATGTATGGAATCAACATGAGACGAGGAAGCATTTTGTGGGTGGAATAAGCCACGATATTACGAATATATAAACCATTTTTATACTTTAATTATCAAAATTTATACTTTATTTAGGTTATATGTATGTATGTGATAATAATGATACATTTTGTGAGATCGCGTCGAAAAGACAATGTGAAAATAATTTGTTTATACACACATAAATAAGGTAATTTAAAGTCCCCTACACCTCCATTTTTGTTTTTAGTTTTAATGCTTAGTACACCTACATTTTGCATTCTTTTCCCCAGTTTGCTTCTTAATTCGGATGTATTAGATTCAGCCTTTCTTAGCATTTAACACAGACAAGAAAATATTTTTTTTAAATACCCACAATTTTTATTAAAATATTTCCAGGAAATTTTTAATAAATAAGAATTAGTAAATAGTAACGCTCTTTTATCTGAAATATAGGAATGGAAATAAATAAATATACAAAAATTAACAAAATAACAATCATTCATTGGCTTGAAACTGGTCAAAACTTTTAAACATAAAAATACTCGTTCATAACTTGCATTGCGATTCATTTAGTATATATAAGAGGATCTAAGAGAGTTCAAAGCCTGTATTGCTGTTGACTGCGTAGCGTAGTTTATCGCGAAGGGTGCTCCGCTTCTGATAGTTGGGCAGCTTTAGCAGGTTGAAGCAGGTCGATGAGGTAGGGAGACGGTTTAGCGGGTCCTTCTTCCTGATAGTGAAGAATCCTCTAATGACGCTACCTGTTAAAAGGAAGTGGTTGTTAATTGATAGATACCTGAAATCTGTAAACTTAATATTAATTTTGAATAAAACTGTTTTTTTTTTAAATATTAAAGCGTTTAATATTAACTTAAGTTTTTTTTTAACACAACATGTTTGCCCGTGGCCGCACGGCACTCGGGAATCGGCATTAAAAATTATACTGATAATAAAAAGTAAAATTGGACTTGAAATACTTGAAAATAATAAAATAATTTATAAGAGTTTTAGTGTTGTGTGCAAAAGTGTTGGGTTCCTTTTAGTTCTTTGAAATTGGCTTTTAGTTTTTATTAAAAGCTAAATTCTTGAACGTGGGGTAGGCTTCGAAATGTCACAAAGCCATGGTGAATAATTATAATGTCGTCTAAATAAATAGAAGGGTGGATTTTTTTCAGCAGATAAAATAAGCTTTAGAATCGGTTTACAATTACGAAAATATAATGTAACATACCGAAAAAAACATGGTCAAATAGAGAATCTCCCCCATTTTACAAGTCGGTTAAATTAAATAAAAATTAAAAGCGATATATACCGTTAAATTATTTTTATTCATTGTGTAGGGAATTTGTATAAATATTTTTCATATCATTTATATTTAATTAGTGAAATTTTTCAAGATATCATGATTGTTGACTTTAATTCCGTATTTTAATGAAATGGCATCCTGAAAGACGAAATCGTAAAAGTAGAACGTACTAATGTACCAAGGATGTTGTCAAATTTCATTGATGGTAGCAAATTCTTTTGCATGCAATCTCGATTTCTGTTCTTCTGAGCTGAGGAATGTTAAAACATCAATGTAAGTATGTATTAACAAAGTAAAAATTTTGTTTATACAATAACACAATACCAGGTCAGTGTCTTTTGAATTTGATAATACATAGTTATGTTTAAGCATACATAAACACTCACGCCTGTCACCCAGAGGGGTAGGCAGAGACTACAGACTTCCATTTGGCACGATCCTGACACACCTCTCTTGCCTCCTTCACATCCATACACCTACGCATACATGCTCGTCGGTTAAGGGTACTCCTAATTTGGCCCGTTTTCAATAAATCGCCAATTTGGTCGATAAATTTTCGCCTAGGACGTCCCTTTCCGACTCTGCCATTCACTTCTGCACCATAAATTTTCTTTGTCACTCTTTCCTCATTCATTCTTTCCACATGACCAAACCACCGAAGCATTCCTTTCTTACCCTGTCATTCAGATTCAGCCCTAACATACTCCTTAACGACCGCATTTCTACTGCGTTTATTCTACTCTCGTGCTTCTTCTGCCATACCCAACTTTCACTACCATACGTTAAAGTAGGGACCAACACAGCATTGTGAATTGCCATACGTGCCTTTTTCGACACATTTTGACTCTTCACAATAGAGTGCAAGGCCCCATTTACTCTATTTCCCGCATTCACTCGTCGTTCTATATCCTTATCATATCTCCCATCCCTGCTAAATACGCATCCCAAATATACAAACTCATCTACTTGCTCGATCAACTCCCCTTCTATTCTTATTTCACAAATCGTTTATCCATAGGTATGTTTATCTATGATTACAATCATTAGTTATATCTAAGACTTAGTTATAGCGGATCATTACCGCCCCGACGTCGCTGATCTCTGGATCTCGACGACAGCGCCCCCTACCGGGTCCAAATATGAATCTAATCTAGGGTCCTCCTAAACGTACCGCTATTGATTTTTTATATAGAGATTAATAATGAATATAACTGAAAACACATAGTCATGCAAGTACACAGCTGTTACGCATAGACGTTAGCTTAATTTGGTGAGTTCAATGAGAAGATGCGTGCCTATGCAAAATTTGTTTAAGTTGGCTGAATTTGACATAATTAAAATGAAAAGGGTAATTGAGACGTGAATTCTCTGTTGTATTTCTCACGCCTGCAGTTTTCATTACTCCACTGAAGAGCCCGAAATCAATACATCAACAGCACCTCTAGAAATGTTAGTATGTTTATATTTTAAGTTGGGCTGAGATTAGACTTGCAAACCGTACTCTAAAATTGAGTATTGCACACTATAGTACGTGCAAAATCGATTGAGAAAAACGGACAATGACCTTTCGGTCGTTTAACCAGGGGTTTACAAACCTTCAATGTATAGGCACTTTTTGTATGCAGCACTTTATTTATAATGACTTTTTTATATTTTTTTTATAATGATTGATATAATATATATTTATTAACTATTATTAAAAAGTTACGTAAAAGACCGCTGTAGAAGAAAAATCATCTATTGTTATAAAGTATTTTATTCATTTAACAACAAAAAGCATTAATTTATAACACATATAAAGATTCAAGTTTCAAGTGATAACGGCACCGAATAAGTACGTACTTATTCAAAAGATAAAACTTTATTTTCAATATTATATAAGAACTTTACTTTTATTCGGTGCATGCGGACCGGCCGAAAAAAAGTGACGCATCTCTGGCTGCCATTATCACGTTTCTTTTAGAACGAACTGACGTAACGCGCGTTTTGTTTATTTTAAGGGATGAATTTGCAAAAGCTCAATATGGTGATTATATTGCTTCTAATATTTTTTTAATATGAAACTGTTATTAAATGAATTGCTGCGTTACTTACCATAAATTGAAATATAAAATATAACATATTTTTCGCGATGTACCGTAATGCCGGCTGTAGACGCTCGTCGAGACATCACGAGACAGGCCTAGAGGCGAGCGTTATTTAACATTGTTCTTAAAAACTTTGCGTTTTTATTTATAAATATTATAACATGTATAGTTTTCTTTGTGAATAAACATTTAAAGTGTATATAAATATTTAGTGTACATAAACAGACATATAATTGGTGTAAATAAATAATAAATATTTTTGTATTAAGTTAATTTTTGTGTGTTATGTGGATCATAATAATTATGTGATGTGATGGACAATAATACTTAAATACTTACAAATTTTGTGACTGTATAAAATTGTACAAAGGTACTAATATTGACAATGTCGCGCACGTGTTATAATACCTATAATATGTTAATATTTTCGTAATTATAACATAACACAAACGCAAAACTAACCTACGCTATACTGTATACATATGTAACTAATTACAAAAATAAGCAGTTTTGAAACTAGTTACTCATATCCACGAAACTACGTACAACCGATTACGTCCAAAAGACGTTACGACCCATGTCTAGACAGGGCGAGTACGAGTGTGTACAGGGTGCTCTCGTCGCGTCGCGTCGCGTCTCGTGGCCCTCGTGCGCTCTCGGAAGCGTGTCGGTTTTTTGCGCTCGAGTCAAAGGGTCTCGTAGGTATCGCGATGAAAACCGAGAGCGAATGATGATATTAATTAACGTGTATAACATGTATAATCAAGCAGAAAAATGCAAACTGTATTATGACATTTTAATATGTAAAAAGTCAAAGGTCGACATTATAACTACACATCAAAGTCTCTACGAAAACGTACTTATATATTATAATCGTTAGGTTTTAATTGCTGCTAAATAATATTCTGTATTTTGTGTACACTTAGTTAAAGAGGTAAAATATTTTGTATTTGTAATTTCTGTTTTGTCTCAAGACGACATACGTGATTTTATTGTTAATAACTTTTTTTTTGATGATAATGTATAAAGAAGTGTAATACACTGTTAGAAAGTTTATTAAATACAGTGTTTAATGATATTATTAATTTTTTTAATTTCATTTAAAATATATATGTACTTAAATTTATGAAGAAACATGTGTTTTTTCCGGGACTAGTTGAACCTCTCTTTTTCTTTACATAATTACAGTCATCTTTCAATAGATCCTGCTAAGTTTTACAAATCTCATAAAATATTTCATACTCTTAATACCGATATCAATATTTAAGTCTTAAGTGCCAGGTTTATTGAATAATTATTTACTTTATATATATATATATATATATATATATATATATATATATATATATATATATATATATACATATATATATTTAAATATTATAACAGGTAGTCGCTAACACTTTCGATATCGATAGTACGCAAGACGAATGTGCGCGGGTAACTGGACGCAGGGAGACACTACTTGGGGCTAGCGCATCGCCCGTTGCTATGGTTTCGCTTCCACGTATGTCATACCGCACCGTACTGTTCATCTTTCGTGGCGCAAGCCGCAAGCTATACACTATTCTATTCACCGTACATGGTACTGTTACGGTAAATTAATAGAAATTATCCACCATCTCCTTCTTCGCAATGGGTTATTAATTTTATTTTTAGTAAATGTGTAAAAAATATAATAGTTAAAGGCAAAACGCCGCAACAGTTTTATCTAGGGGGCATATGGAGTTCAAACTTCAAATGATACAACGAGTGTGTACATGGTGTGTTCTCGTGTCGAGCCTTTACGTGATGAGAGGCACACAAGGCGACGAGACGAGCGTGTTCAGCCGCCATGAGCTACATACATCTAGGGTTGCCAGGTCTTTAAACCGAGAAGCCGAACAGACCATCCAGCTTAGCCGGACATTTTGGTAAAAAGGCCGGACACCCTTAATTATTCAGTCTTAGTATAACACGATAATATATTTTTTAACGTAAAACAATGCTAACCTTATATCATTTACCATAAAATCTTAAATTAAAAGAATCAGTGTTCTTTATTATTAATCATTCAATATTCATTACAATATTAGTTTCAATAATTGCAATAGTATGTATTTAAGTACATGTAAATGTAAAAAAATTGTCAAATATAAAAAGCCTGACAAATGCCAGACAGGCCCGGACACCGTCTAATTTGGCCGGACACGCAAACAAAAAGCCTGACTGTGTCCGGCTTTATCAGGACGCCTGGCAACGCTACATACATCTGTATACAATACAGTATAGCGTAGGTTAGTTTTGTGTTTGTGTTAGGTTATGATTACGAAAATATTAACAGGTTATAGTATAGTATTATAAAATTGGTTTAACTGTGTTATGTTATGATTATGATTACGAATATATAACATTTTATAGGTATTATAATTATAATATGCGCGTGATATCGTCAATATTAGTACTTTTGTACAATTTTATAGTCACAAAATATGTAAGTGCCTAAGTATTATTGTCCATCACATCACATAATTTTTATGATACACATCTTGCGTGTAAGCCATTAACTATCCCGAAGGGACTCTTTACTCTCGTTGTGCGAGTCGTATATCGTGTTACGTACCTACCTATATTCATCTTAATAATAATCTGTTCAAAACGAAACGCTTACGCGAGCGCCGGTCGTGGTGTGTGTCAACTGCGTACGTAAAATAATCATTACATTTTGTCCACGAAACTGGGTAAGTATACGATTATCAAGCTTGTAAGCAGTTTCTGAAACCGATTATGTTAAATAATGCTCACCTCTGGGCATGTCTTGTGGTGTCTCGACGAACGTGTACAACCGGCATAAGATTTTACGATGTCTATAGGAACCGCAGACAATATTATTTTAGAAACAAAAGAAACATATGTGCTTACCTAAAAGTGTGATAATATCAATATTTAAATATTGTTATCACATCTAAATTGAGATTTTGTAAGTTACGCCATTTGCTACTCGGCTCATATCTGAGGTCCGTTTTTCTCAATCGATTTGGCACATATTATAGTTTATGTAGCTGTTTTTTTATAATCTTTGAGACTATATAGTAAGTTAAAATATCCATATTAGCTTTTCCAGATTTTTGCCACAAACTTCACTAGTGCCAGGCACAAAACTAATAATGGCGTTATGTACCAAAAAAAATTTATTAAATAATACTCTTTATTTATGTAATCTTTTTACTTTTTACCCTTTCTGAAATCAGATTTATATTAATCATTTAAAAAAATTGCCCTTACCGAGACCAGAAATTTACATATTATTTTTATAATGAATACCTGCCTTTCTGAACACAATATGATACAGGTGAAAATCAGCCCTGGAACTTTCAAATTAATCTATAAAGTCGGTAAAATTCACTGTTGGTAGAGTAAGAGATATTAACAAAATATTAGATTCTTATCGGATATCGGATCATTTTAAATTTTTTATACAGTGCGAGTTGTAGGGATAATATAACATATTGTGTAATAAGACAACAACATTAATAAATTGCTAAAGGAAGTGAGATATTTACCAATCGTGTCGCCTGTATCCTCGTCGTCACCCACTTCAACACAACGTATCGAGAAAGGTGGCTTTAAATGTGCAAATCCAAGTACGGGTGGTTTCGAGCACGATGTTACGAACTGAAAACAAAGTCATTATTGTCCTGCATCTGTCAACTACACTCAGTTGCAAAAAAGGGCAATTTTAAAAAAAATACAATAGGTACGTAAAAGGTAAATCGTTTGAACAAGTTACCGGCCGGTTATAAAAGTGCCGTGGTGTTTAAAAAAGTACGTTCCAAATTCGGACTTTTGCCTGAGGCTGGTTTTTAACAAAACCAATTTTTTTACTACATTTTGTGGCGCGACTTTTGAAAGTTAATATCGACTCTATATAACTTATAGTCTATTTTTACTGAATTTTCTCATTTCCTTGACATTTCAAAGTATTTATTGTTCTCGCTGTTTAGCGGTCTCGAAAATTATTGCGCTGCCAGGCTGCCAGTTGCCAAGCTTAGCTTTACTCGAAATAGTGTGTCATAGACTCAAGAAGACTGGAATTGAAGATGGGAGAGACCAATTTGGCCTTTTCTTCGTAATGACCACAAAACTGCAAGTCATTCGATATGTCGACACCGGGGATTCCGATACTGGCTGAGGCAATAAGGGGAGTGCCCTGTAATAGAGGAGATACGACAAAGGGGTTCTTTTAAGCGGTAAACGCGCAAAATTGTGCCTTCTGGGGATTGAACTGGACTAGATTTAGTCGTCCCCAATCCGAGACTTTATTCAACAATGTCCCGACTTCAAATACAAGTTTATTCCGGTACTCGGTGACGTTTTCCCTAGAAACATTGGCACGGCCGGTGCATAGAGCAGTGCTGTCGTCCGCACAGCAATGAATGTTACCGGTTTACATTTATGGAACACCAATGTGAATAGGCTTGTAATTGGAGCATGCACCGTCTACTATGACATTGATGCTCCGATCAGCCAGAAAACGGGTGATTCAATTGCACAATTCCTCGGGAAGCCCATAGGAAGGAAGCTTCGAGAGAAGCGCTTTATGCCAAACCCGTTCGAAGGCCTTCGCTATGTCGAAACTAACCGCCAAAGCCTCTCCTTGGACTCGATCGCCAGCGCCAAGCTTGTAGATACAAGCTTGATTGTGAATGTGGTCTCTTGTATATAGGACAAACTAAAAGATCAATTAAAACCCGCGTTAAAGAACATATAGCTGATGTGAAAAATCAACGCTAGGGAAGATGGCTGTGTGCTACCATCTGCTTGGGATCCTATAATTAATAAAATTAAATCCCATCCCAAGCATACAACTACAAGACTTCAAGATACTATAAGTTCAAACTGCACAGATCGGAACAAAAATTAATAATTTTATTCTGTGGTAACCGCGGTTAACTATGACATCTTGACGTTGAACATCTCAGTCCCCCCGTGACCATGGGTGCTGTAGTGTTCGAAACGTCGGGTACATAAAAAAACTAATATACGCGATAAAATCCGTAAAAACTTGTAGTATTTAAATTGACTTCATTATTTTAGAGAACAAGGAGGTGATGGCGATAGGCCTGTAAGTTGAACGGATCAGAGCGGTTACCGTTTTTAGGGTTCAGGTGCAGGCAAGCTGTCTTCCATGAATTCGGGACTATGTCCGAAATCTAATCATTTCTTCTGCGGCTGCAGCGCCTCAGGTACACCAGATAGTTATTGAAAAATGACGAAAACTATTCCTTGCTAATTGATTTACAAAATTATAAATATTAAGACTACCTGAAATTATCAAAGAATCTAACAGTAACAAAAAAGATGATTCTGTGCTTAAGTGCCCGTATTTTCTTTTTTCTAAAGAGTTTACAAGGCCACGATGGTTAGAGAAATTTTAATATAATCACTTGCTTGGTGGATTGCCGAGCATCCAGTGACACTGGCAAGCTCAAACGAGAGCGAGCTCTATGTGCAACTTATTCAAAGTTGGGCATCGTGCAAGAGGTTGTCATGGTACTTATCAAACTTAACCGCTACTCTAGACCTCATCAGAACCAGCATTTGATGGAACGATGGAAGGGACGGGAACAGTTTATATGTCCATCCATCCATAATCCAATAGCTTCCCAGCGCTGGATTCAGATGAAACTGGAACAACACAGCCAGCACACGACGCAGTGCGAGTCGTGCTAGTGCAAGTGGGTGCGTACCTTGAGGAACATGGCGCGCTCGTGCTCGGTGAAGTCACGCTGCAGCACGTCCCACAGCCAGCACACGACGCGGTGCGAGTCATGCAAGTGTAAGTGGGTGCGTACCTTGAGGATCATGGTCCGCTCGTGCTCGGTGAAGTCACGCTGCAGCACGTCCCACAGCCAGCACACGACGCGGTGCGAGTCGTGCAAGTGCAAGTGGGTGCGTACCTTGAGGAACATGGCGCGCTCGTGCTTGGTGAAGTCGCGCTGCAGCACGTCCCACAGCCAGCACATGACGCGGTGCGAGTCGTGCAAGTGCAAGTGGGTGCGTACCTTGAGGAACATGGCGCGCTCGTGCTCGGTGAAGTCGCGCTGCAGCACGTCCCACAGCCAAGCACATGACGCGGTGCAAGTCGTGCAAGTGCAAGTGGGTGCGTACCTTGAGGAACATGGCGCGCTCGTGTTCGGTGAAATCACGCCGCAGCACGTCCCACAGCCAGCACACGATGCGGTGCGAGACATGCAAGTGCAAGTGGGGGCGTACCTTGAGGAACATGTCGCGCTCGTGCTCGGTGAAGTCGCGCTGCAGCACGTCCCACAGCCAGCCCATGACGCGGTGCGAGTCGTGCAAGTGCAAGTGGGTGCGTACCTTGAGGAACATGGCGCGGTCGTGCTCGGTGAAGTCGCGCTGCAGCACGTCCCACAGCCAGCACACGACGCGGTGCGAGTCGTCCAAGTGCAAGTGCAAGTGGGGGCGTACCTTGAGGAACATGGCGCGTTCGTGCTCGGTGAAGTCGCGCTGCAGCACGTCCCACAGCCAGCACATGACGCGGTGCGAGTCGTCCAAGTGCAAGTGCAAGTGGGGGCGTACCTTGAGGAACATGGCGCGTTCGTGCTCGGTGAAGTCGCGCTGCAACACGTCCCACAGCCAGCACATGACGCGGTGCGAGTCGTGCAAGTGCAAGTGCAAGTGGATGCGTACCTTGAGGGACATTACGCGCTCGTGCTCGGTGAAGTCACGCTGCAGCACGTCCCACAGCCAGCACACGACGCGGTGCGAGTCGTGCAAGTGCAAGTGGGTGCGTACCTTGAGGAACATGGCGCGCTCGTGCTCGGTGAAGTCGCGCTGCAGCACGTCCCACAGCCAGCACACGACGTGGTGCGAGTCGTGCAAGTGCAAGTGGGTGCGTACCTTGAGGAACATGGCGCGCTCGTGCTCGGTGAAGTCGCGCTGCAGCACGTCCCACAGCCAGCACACGACGCGGTGCGAGTCGTGGAAGCCGCCGTAGTACTGCGTGTGGCGCCGCAGGTCGCGCAGGTCCAGCGGCACGTTGTCGCCGCTGATCAGACGCTGCAGCTGCTCACACCAACAAATATGTGATATCATTACATTAATGACAGCTAATATTTTTACGCTCATCGGATGTCGCCAGTTGGGACTAAGGTGACTTATTTGTTACGCAGATGGTCACATAGTGTCTTTATCATGTATGTATAGTATAAACCATAGAATACTATAATACACAATAGAATGGCTGTCAACTTTATTTTATACGAGGATTGGCGTCGCCAAAACCGATTCGCTGTGTTGACAGACTGAGTAAATTTACACATTTTAGACTTTTGATTAATGTTCAAGATCATCATTAAATTTTAATACATATTTATTTGTAAATAGGGTGCAATATGGCATTTACTAAATAACTTGCATGCGAAATTTGGAAATGATTGTAACGTCAAAACACATCTCGTGTTGACATTTACACGTGTGAATTGACGTGTTAGTGACATTTTAGTGGCTACGCGGGCTCCGCCCACTCCCCCGTTCTATTATGTATGTATTATAGTATTCTATGGTATAAGCCCATAAACTAGCCGACATAAATTGAACAAAGGGCCTCTGAATCCCACTTATCAGCAATCCTGAATCACATCAATCAGCATCGATTGGCATTTAGCTGGATGGTTATGGACAAACTTATACGCATCGTGAGTAAACGCTGCGATAGGTGGCTATCGAACGCCATCAGCTGCTATAGGACACTATTGTATGGTACGTAGTGCAGCAGACCATCACCCACCCGCACTTCCCCATCTCCCCTCTAAGTCACCAACAAATTACATTGATTCATCAGACCTGAATTACTATTATAAGCACCAATTTGCATTTTATCTATAGAAAATAGATATTATGTATGAAGATGCGTATGTATCAATACTCATTTCAGCATGGTTTCAGTAAGTGCAAGTACAGTCCGTAACGTCAACTTCACGGAATATAAAAAACAAGAGGAAGTAGCAAAACGCATAATTTGTACCAGAACCACTGTCGCCAAACTCACACATTCGCAAGAAAGAAATGTGTACCAACAATTGTGCACCATTTCAACAATTTTGCGTGATTAGCTATCAGAAAATAAAAGAGAAAGGCAACCATAAGTTCTTAAAAATAGAGAGAGTGATTAAAGGTAAGGTTTTTGATTGTTTTTAGTTCATATTTACCATTGTATATAAAAAATGTTTTAAATATTTGAGACAATGAATTCATTTTACTTACTTCATAATTTTTCCTTGATGTTTCCATAATATATTAAATTAAGTCTTAAAAAAAATTATATCAATAACATCTTCTTTAAACAGGTATACTGTAAGCAAATTACATTCTTACCTCTGGAGTGGAAAAAAGTGAAAGCCATTCAGGATTGATGATAGCTCTGAAGCCTTTGATAAACGCGTTGGTTTGATCTTTGATTTGAGTGTGCATGCGAAAATGGGCCATCATGTGAATGTAGTTTATTCTGGAAGTAAAAGATTACTTAAAACATATATTATTAGTTTTTAAAGTTAAATATATTCATAGCGGCCAATTTATACTACGCAAAATTAAGCAAATCGATGTGTAAGTTTGTAGAATTCTTTTTGTGCCTAGGAGTTCATCTGGTTAGATACAACACTTTTGCCTATTTCTATTGCATAGTAGCAGTGCTTGCACAATTTTTTTTGTTTTTTATTTAACTAGCGTTACGGCTCTGGGTACTAGCCCTTCTGAGCCTATCAATTCTTTCAGAATCTTCATTTTATATATTTTTTCTACACAATACGCTGATGCGTCACATCGCGGAATTTTTGGGAAATTTTGACGACAGCTCAACCCAGCGGACTGTTGATGACGACAGCCACTCAAGTTCATAAAGCACCCAAACGATATTAACTTCGAGGTTTATATCGTCATCAAAGCACTGGTTTCATCGTTTTCTCTAATAGTTCACACGCGCAGACAATTCACAAAATCGCATCACTTTTACGAATTAAAATCCACTTCAAACCATTATTCAAGCGACAAAACAGGAGCGACAGTCCGTCGTCGGCCAAGTTCCCACCAAAACCTGCTTGCACTAATGTGTTCTAGTCTGAAGGGTATAAAAGGCCAGTTTACAGACTTTGAGCAATTCCATCTTAGTCAACGTGGGTGACAACGCACAATTTGGTTGCAGATATCCATGGACTGCAGTAGCCATTTCTCATTAGTTGGACTGTGAGTTCGTTTGTCGCTTCAGTGTTAAATAAAAAAATATAACAAAGTTTAACGACCTTTAGTTTCGTTTTTTTTTGTCGTGGATTTAAGGCCATTTGTCGGTCACCAGAGTCGCGTTCGTTGACTAGCAGGGTGCACAACGTGCAATGAGAAGAGAAAAATAAGTTGGCACGTCCCACATGCACACTTTGGGCACATTACACGTCGTAAAATCACACTGCAGCTATATAATGGCTGTAGCATGAATAAGTCGGCTCGACCGGGGTAGCAGCTTAATGCTGTGTTACGTTTCATAAGATGGGTGTGGAGATCCAGAGACGCTTTTTACGGGTACCGAGGCAAACCATCTTAGATCTGAGTAGTGACAACGCATCTACATTTTAAATCGAATTGAAGGTGTAGGTGTATCTGGACCACAGCATGCAATGTGACAGCATCCACTGCGAGCGACTGCTGGTTATATGGTACCGGGTACAAATGCAGGATCGGCAAAGTCACAGTAACAGTCAGTAATGAGGTTTTTTTTTTCAAGAAATTCTTAGCTCGAAGTCTTAGAAAGCACGTAAAGCCGTTGTGCGTCCAATCATGTCGGATTGTCGTCCTATCGGATTATGAGAATGTGGGAATAGAGAGCGCATATATTTGGTCCTTGATACTGGCCGTCGTGACCGAAATTCGGTCATTATTTCATTAATTAAAGTAGTATTATATCATTAAAACATTTATTATTATTAGTGTGTTTGGCGAAAAAATATTTTTATTGGATTTCTGCGAATCAAAAGTCACTATCAGTATTAACTGATAATTCAAAAGATGGTGAATACTACTTACTTATTTTCGTTTGTAACTGGAATAGCCTTTCCGCCTGGTACAAGTTCATGTGTTACGATTTCACCCAACCTCTCTTCGTCAACCGAAAACGTTAATTCCAATGTAGAGATGTCGCCCTGTAATGATCAAAATAAAGAAAAGCATACAGTTTTGTAATCGTTAACGTAATTCATCAGAGTTTTAATGAACACAGAAAGTTAGTAGCTTTTAGATATTTAAAGAAGATATTTGACACCGTAAGTCATGAAATTCTGTTATAAATGGTCTCTGCGCTCGCGAAAAGTGTTTGGGTTCTAGAAACGTAGTCGTATATTACAAATGTTTTGAAGTAAGTAGGTGTTTAATATAGATTAAAATGTTAGCAGTTCAGTACGGTGTTTCCCAAGGAACAATTTAGGGCCCCTTTGCTCAATTCCATATATAAATAATTACACATCGTTCACTTAAAGGGGCATATCACCTTTTATGCCAATTCATCCTATCTCTTCTACTTTGGACCCAGTATCATACTTAGGATAGGGGGACCAGAAAGACTTACCTATTGCAAGTGCAGTTCTCATGCAAATTGTTTATCATTAAAGTTTTAAAAAAACACATTAAAAGTAAACTAAAAGAAAAATTTAGATTTTAGGTCACATACTATAAACGGTGAAAATAGAAAAATATCTGTAAATTATTTTTGATAATAGGTTGTCGTGAAAATCACGTTTTAAGGTAATCAATTCGAAATTGTTTAAATTTTCAGGAAGTGTACGGACTTTAAAAATATTTCTGCTACGAAATCTGGCAGCAGAACGCTCGGAAACCAATAAATATGTGTGTGACCTGGAAGTGCTTGATGTAGGTGAGGCTGCGGTAAAGATCGCGGTCAAGTGAAGGCAGCTCGTCGATCCAGCTGTACAGCGCCTGCTGCGTCTGCCCCAGCACCTGGCTCAGGAAGAACGACGCGAATGGCACGTCCACCACGATACCCTGATGATTACATAAATAAATGTAAATAATAAGATTATTTCGAAACAAATATAAACCGACTATACGACATCATCATCATCATTACAGCCCTTCACAAGTCCACTGCTGAACATAGGCCTCCCCCAAGTAATGCCACAAAGCACGGTCCTGAGCCACCTGCATCCATCGACTTCCTGCATATCTTATCAGGTCGTCACTCCATCTAGTGGGGGGTCGCCCTACACTACGCCTACCGGTACGAGGCTGCCACTCGAGAACCTTTCTTCCCCATCGGTTATCGGTTCTTCGAGCTATATGGCCGGCCCATTGCCACTTCAGCTTACTAATCCGTTGGGCTATGTCGGTCACTCTGGTTTTACTGCGGATATCCTCATTTCTGAGTTTATCACGCAGAGAAACTCCGAGCATAGCCCTCTCCATAGCTCGTTGAGCGACCTTGAGCGTCCTCATACGGCCAGCAGGGAAGGACCACGTCTCAGATCCGTAAGTCATCACTGGCAACACGCACTGGTTGTACAATCTAGTTTTTAGAGATTGAGGTATACCTGACGAGAAGATTCCCGAACGCTGCCCAGCCGAGTTGAATTCGTCGATTGACCTCTCGGTCGAAGTTGGACTTACCTAGTCGGACTATTTGTCCCAGGTAAACATACTCGTCAACAACTTCGAGCATAGTGCTCCCAACAACTACCGGCATAGGTGTGACATGGACATTAAACATGATCTTTGTTTTGTCCATGTTCATCTTAAGACCTATCCGTTGGGAGGCACTATTGAGGTCATTGAGCATAGTGCTTAAGTCCTCCAGCGATTCTGCCATAAGGACTATATCGTCGGCAAATCGAAGGTGAGTGATGTACTCGCCATTGATGTTAATACCGTATCCTTTCCAGTCCAGTAGCTTGAAATCGTCTTCCAAAGCAGCGGTGAAGAGTTTCAGGGATATAACGTCACCCTGTCTTACACCTCTCTGCAGTTGGATAGGTTTCGAGCTCTGGTTCTGTACTCGGATAGCCATCGTAGCCCTACTGTACAAACACTTCAGCACTTCGATATACCGACAGTCAACTTGGCACCGCTGAAGGGACTGCAGCACCGCCCAAGTTTCGACGGAATCAAAGGCTTTCTCATAGTCCACATACGCCAGGCAAAGTGGCAAATTGTACTCTTCAGTCTTCTGTACAATCTGCCGCAGGGTATGTATGTGGTCTATGGTACTGAAGCCTTTTCGGAAACCGGCTTGTTCGGGAGGCTGGAAGTCGTCGAGTCTGCGTGTGAGACGATTCGTAATGACTCTCGAAAACAGCACGTAGACGCGGCTCAGAAGGGAAATCGGTCTGTAGTTCTTCAAGAGAGCGTTGTCGCCTTTCTTAAAGAACAAGACCACCGCACTTCTGCTCCACGCCTCTGGAGTAGTGCCACCATGGAGGACGGAATTGAAGAGCTTCTGAAGGACTTCCAGTACCGGTGTTCCACCCGCTTTCAGAAGCTCCGCTGTAATTCCATCCTCGCCTGGGGCCCTGCCGTTTTTAAGGTGCTGGAGAGCCATTCTAATCTCGCTTAGACTGACGTCCGGGATATCATCGGAATAGTGTCGGATAAGACTTGCTCTTGGATCGTTACTCACACTTGCGTGTGGCTCCAACGATGATGTGTACAGCTGCCCATAGAACCTCTCAATCTCACTCAACATCTCAGGTGTCCCGGAAACGATGCTGCCACATTCAGTCTTCAGCTTTGACAGTTGGCTCTTTCTGGCAGACAGATCTCTGGCAAAGACTTTGGAGCCCTGGTTCCGCTCGATCGCTTCTTTAATACGAGCAGTATTAAAGTTGCGTAAGTCTCGCCGCATGCATTTGGAGATCTGTCTGTTCAGTTGCCTGTATGCTGTCAAATCTGTTGACGATTGCAGCCTCATCTCCCGTCTAACAGCCATGAGATTAGGGGTGTGATCGGAGAGTTTTTGTGTTCTTCTGCGGTGGGTCTTGCAGAACTTAGCTCCGACCGCATGGACAGTTTCCACGAGCTTGTCATTCATATCGTCCACTGCATTGCAATCTTGTAGGCACTGAAAGCGGTTGTGTAACTCGAGCTGAAAGTTTTCGGGATTCTGGATTAGAGCACGAGGGGGGACGGAGCGTTGACTTCATTAGACGAGACCTCTCCAACTTAACGTTTAGGTTCAGTGTGCCTCTAACCATTCGGTGATCGCTGCCAGTTTTCACCCTTGCGATCACTGAGACATCACTGAACAGTTGGCGTCTGGTCGTCATAATGAAGTCAATCTCATTTTTTGTCGAACCGTCGGGGCTCGACCAGGTCCACTTCCTGTGGGGCCGCTTCTGGAAGAAATAGTTCATCATAAAGAGTCCCTCTTTCTCCATAAAGTCGGCCAGCTGCTGGCCCCTTCGGTTCCGTTGCCCTACTCCAAATTTCCCTAACTTCAGCTCACCGCTTTCTCTTGTGCCTAGTTTTGCGTTGAAGTCTCCCATCAACACCGTGTAGTGGGTTTTGGAGGAATGCATGGCTTTGGAAATATCCTCATACATTTCCTCTACCTCCTCATCGGGATGTGCCGAGGTTGGTGCGTAAACCTGTATGACCTTCAGCGAATACCGTTTGGTGATTCTGAGTATCAGGTACGCGACCCTCGTCGACACACTCCCAATCTTTACAACGTTGTTGACGAGAGACTTGTGGACGATAAATCCGACACCTCCTTGGGACAGATGGTCGCCCTCCCGGTGATAGAACAAGTTGCCAGATTCGAGAATCACCGTGTCCTCCCCCTCTCTTCGGACCTCTGATAATCCTATAATACTCCAGCGCAACTTGTCTATCTCTTCTTCCAGCTCCAGGATCTTCTCGTCAGTCCTCAGTGTGCGTGCGTTAAATGTTGCCAGGTCGAGTCGTCGTAGGTGGCAACCGAACCTCCACCGGAGATTCTTAGCACCCCCTGCCCTGCCGTTACCATGGTCGCCACCGTAGCCAGGAATAGCGGGGCCGCCGGGGACTTGTCGGGGACGGTTGGCGAGCGGGTTGGCAACCGCAGTTTTTTTTTTGTCGTACAGTTGCTGTTATCAGGAAGATGCTGCTGCCCATCTCCTGCCTGTCTCCCTCTGTCGCCTTTTACGACACCCACGGGAAGATATGGGGTAGTGGATATTCTTAACCGCTACTATACGACAACACAGTAATTATTATTCTTTTTCTTCATCAGTCCCTTGAAGTTCACTGATAAACATGGGTCTCTCAGTTTGTATGGAAAATTTGCTTTAACGCTTTGCAAGCGACGCCAATCGCAGTATCATACATCTCGCATCTTTGACGCTGCTCTCTGTCTCCGCTCTAGGTATTTTACGCCTGACGTAAAAGTAAAAAAATGGTTACTCTGCCATCTATCGGAAAGTGTATGGGCCTCTTTGGCATTTTCCATTCTCGCCCGTTACGCCACCAACGAAACAAAATGCATTGTATAATTCTATTACGGGTGTAATAAAGTAAAATAATATTATTATGATACTCTCCGATTCCTCCTATCCGCTGCTATCATCAGTCAAGTACCTGATGTTGAAGGTCAAACAGTTGCTTAATGAACAAAAATGACAAGACACATGCTTGATAGGTGGGGTAACAGACTCGGGCCGCAGACGTGTCGCACCTTTAAGATGATGTGGGCACCAAAAGCAGATTTTTCACGCTTTATAGGTGCACAGAAAAGGAATTTTTTTGTCTTTAAAAACTACAAATCCACATTTTTTTTAAATTCATTATGAAAGTTAAAGATTTTTCTTAGTAAATTATGTTGGCTAAAACACGATTGACACATTTTTTCATCAACTTTGTTTAACATTTTTATTTAAAATTAATAATTAACCTCGTAAACGGCTTTTCCGAGCATTCTGCCAATAAACTCGAACAACTGCAAATGGTTCTCCTGTAGACACGACGTGGGCGAAGGGTACAGTCGCTCCTCGCTCGTCACACGGAACAGATTTAGAGACGGATCAAAAACCCGCTTGATAGTCTCCTCTAGGAACTCTGAAGAGAAAATCTCCTTTTAACTTCCTTAAACCTATGTTCGATAAAATATACTTAGCTTACATTCAAAACTGGTCGAAAAACCAAAATAACTGGATGTACTTTATGTGAATCTTTAAGACAATAAGCGCCGCCAAGCAAAAGTGCACCCACTGTTGTGATCTGGTTTGGAAACTAAGAAAAGCAGAATAATTCCAGGATGTGAAGCATTGTTTTCGTTCTCAGCGGTGATGACGCATCTAAGGCCGCAGTAGCCAATTACCATCAGGTAGGTTAACTAGTTTATTTAACACCAATATAAAAACCGACAACCGATGTAAAGGTACACGAGTGGCAGCCACATAAACGGCAAATGCAGAGTAGGGCTACTTTTTATTAGATGGAGTACCATTGACATCAGATGGGCTGCAATGACGACTATAATGATGATGTTAAAGATACATAACACTTGGGTTTTTGCGTGCAAATTCATTTTTAATTGATGTTAACTTCAAATTTGTATGGTGTTAACTGTAGTATGTTTATAAATTTGATACATTTTGTGTATTGTATTTCCTAAATCAAAGTCGCTCAGCGAGCTATGGAGAGGGCTATGCTCGGACATTTTGTGTATTGTATTTCCTAAATCAAAGTCGCTCAGCGAGCTATGGAGAGGGCTATGCTCGGAGTTTCTCTGCGTAATAGACTTAGAAATGAGGATATCCGCAGTAAAACCAGAGTGACCGACATAGCCCAACGGATTAGTAAGCTGAAGTGGCAATGGGCTGGCCATATAGCTCAAAGAACCGACAACCGTTGGGGAAAAAAGGTTCTCGAGTGGCAGCCTCGTACCGGTAGGCGAAGTGTAGGGCGACCCCCCACTATATGGAGTGACGACCTGGTAAGACATGCAGGAAGTCGATGGATGCAGGTGGCTCAGGACCGTGCTTTGTGACATACCTTGGGGGAGGCCTATGTTCAGCAGTGGACTTGTGAAGGGCTGTAATGATGATGATGATGATGATTTCCTAAATGGATTTTTATCTGCCTTCCGAACACTGCAACAAAACAACACGTATGTCATGCATAATGTATCTCCCGCCCGAAACATACTACACGTGTGGTTAAAGAATGGGATTGAAAATGGCGTCGCCTCTATTCACATCATGCTCGCACACTCGCTATCTATGGTCACACTCGCCGGTAAAGACGGCAAAAAAAATACGTTGAGATATGCATTTTTCCATGCAGTATCCATAGATAAAATTCATTGAGATTAATGGAATTATTATATTAACTAATGATAATAAATTGCCATAAACTACAATAAAAATTCAGTCCGGTTTAGCATTTGCGAGCTACAACGCGTCGAGCCGAGAGATTTCTTCATAATTAACGTAGATTTTTTTTATTAATATTTTTGTAAAATATTTACATGTCATTGAGACATTAGTAAACATTTTTTAAATTTTTGTTTGTACTGTCTGTCCGCGCTAGTTTTCGTAATGGCTAAACAGATTCTGATGATACTTTACGAACAAATAGAGATTAGTACCGGAAGCCATGATGCAGCTATTTTATGGTTGCAGGTTGCAGCTCGACCGGGGGCAGGACAAAGCTCTCACAGAATACCAGCGTAAAATAGCAGCTTAATACTGCTGTTTCGTATGGGTAGTGCAGAAAACCGGAGACCCTCGTTACTGAAAACGAGTCATTCCATCTTAGTCCTCAGGGGTGACAATGCATCTGCGTTTTAATTCTTAATCGAGGATAAATGTAGATATCTATGGGCAATAGCATCCACTTACCATCAGGTGGATTGTGTGCTCGTTTGTCACCCTTATTCTATAAAAAAACGTGATCTAGATAATTTTGATCCGAAAAATTCAGAGATTTTATTTAAATTGAAATATTGTTAAGATAAAATAAATGATCTTTACTCATTAACTTAAGTCCTAATAAAAGTTAGATCAACCGCTCAGGCCACGAAAGTGTTTTGGACTAACATTGTCAGACCTATGGTCAAGCCAAAAGTGTAGTAGGTTAGGCCAATGACGATTTTTTTTTAATTCAGGCTAATATAACTTACGAGTCATTACCATGTCCGAAAAAATAATCAAAAATTAAAATATCGAATTATAGCAATTAATATCGAATATAGTAAGCGCTAGAGAAACGATTGCAGGACTTTGTCGATAAATAAAATGTTTTAAGAAATTATCAATTACCGTGTGGTGGCGGTATATGAATATCCATATCGTACCGTGGATGTCGTAAGAGGCGAACATACTTGGGGAAAAGTGTTATTTTTAAATAACCGTGGCCGCCGTCGTTCCAGTTACAAAAGTCACAGTGAAAAACCATCGTGACTTTGTCACGTTGGATAACTACGCAACGTCTTATATATGCATTTTAGATTTAGTATTAGGTTTTATTTCAGTGGTCGATTTTTTATTACTTTTTTATTTACCTAAGCTACGTGCTTATGTGTTATAAGCACAGCGGGCTGCTGCCATAGAGGACATGTAATCACTACATTATGCAGCCGCGCGTAGCTGATTAGCTGTATGTAATAAATAACGGTTAAAAATCGACAATCAGGCAACCATTAGTACCTTTAAACACGCCGTCCTGGTCGATGCCGGCCTCGTCGAGCCCCTGCTGGTTGACGAAGCGCACGCGCACGACGGCTTTGAGCGCGCGCGCGGGCAGCGCAGCCAGCTGCCGGTAGCCGTCTTCCACAAGGCGCGCGCGCCGCACCGTCACCAGCGTCGAGCGCGCACCCGACACGCACGCACGCTCCGTCAGCCCCAGCACCACCTGCGCACCACGCTGCACTGTACCGCATCGTATCGTACCGTGCCCCACCGCAACAACACATACACGTGCACGCGCGCTCCGTCAGCCCTAGCACCACCCGCGCACACCGCACCGTACTGTACCGCAACGTAACGTAACGCACCGCATCGCAATAACATATACACGCACGCGCGTTCCTTTACCCCCAGCACCACCTGCGTACCCACCACCTCCCATGGCCCCACCGACCCTCAGGTCATACGGGCCTAATCTCGGGAGATGCGCGCGGTACTTGCACCTTGCTCTTTCTCGCGCGCACTTTCTTGACTCCCTACAAATATTTATTCTGTTCCTTGTCCCAGTTTAACGTCATTCTCCCCCTTCTGGGGCTGACGGCACAATAACGCCTACGTCGTCGGGCCTTCCTACCAGCATCCTTTCCTGCCTTCTCCTGCGATCGTGCCACCTATGCGCAAACTCACGCAACAGCCCGTAGTTCACTCCATCGCTGACGAGATCCGAGTAGTAAATCGGTCCCTGAACCGTTCGAACCAGCCCATCCAACACTTTCGCTCTTAGATCGTCATACAGAGGACATTCCCATAGGACATGGTGAACATCCTCCTCTGCCGTACCACACTCACACATACTGGTTTCACACAGTCGCATGTCATGCAGTCTCTTCCGAAAACATCCATGTCCAGTGAGAATCTGGGATGTTTGATAGTCCGGTGAGACCCAGGTATACCTGAGTCTCAACGCCACCTCCGGGAAAAATCGATTTAACTCACGTCCTTTCGTTTCGTTTTCCCATCGATTCTGCCATACGCTAATCACCTCAGTCCAGATATCGCGCTTTCATCTGCTCAACTCCTCTTTGGGCGCGGTCAAACGTGCCACACCCGTCCTACCAGCACGGATGACCTCCAGGTCAGCAGGGAGAACGCCAGCCAGCACCGGTAAGGCCGCCGTGCTAGTGGACCGGTACGCCTTGGTCAGCAAGACAAGTGCAGATCGTTGCGATCTCAGTAGTACGCTACGGACTGTGTACATGTTCGCCCGCTCATACCAGCACTCTGCTGCATACGTGAGCGTGGACACAAACACTCCTCTGTAAATAATTTTTAAACTCTGATATCGAATACCCCATGACGAGGTCGATACGCGAGTCATTTTGCCAAATCCCTTAGTCGCTCTTTCAGAAATATCAGAAGCGTGTTGCACAAATGATAATCCTGAGTCCAAAACCACGCCTAGTACCTTAGCGGTAGTCACGGACTTGATTGATTCCCCACCAAGTTTAATAACCGGGGGGCGCTGAAGTTTCCCTCTAACAGTCATGGTGGTAGACTTTGAGGAGGAGAACTTCAGTCGATTCCTCAGCCCCCATTCCCGTACAAGGTCCAGAGTGACCCGGGCCCTGGATTCAATACCTACTCTCGTTTCCGATTCAACCAAGATTGTGACATCATCGGCATAGGCAGTCATGGCAACTCCCTCAGGCAGAGGGAGTCGAAGCAAATCGTCCATCAGCACGTTCCACAGTGTTGGGCCCAGCACGGAGCCTTGAGGACATCCCATGGTCGAGGTCTTCCACTCTACCCGGTCCCCGATGTAGAGGCCCACACGCCTGGAGGTGAAGTAGTCCACCAACATTTTATAAATGTTAGGTGGACATCCACCCCTCTTAGCTTTGACCATCATCATCGGCCACCAGGCATTGTCGAAGGCACCGGAAATATCCAAAAAGATAGCTTGCACGTAGCATGCCCGAGAATACTTTGCCGTGCTGAGCAATACTCGCAGCGCTGTTACCGTAGATCGCCCCGGAGAAAATCCGTGCTGGTGCTCGGATATCCCGTGACTAATCACAGGAGCACATCTTAGAATTACACGTTCAAGCAACTTTCCCAAAACAGGCAGGAGCGTTATGGGATGATACGCCTTGGCGTCAGTGATTACCCTTGGGAATGACAATCAATCTACCGTCCTTCCATACCTGGGGGAAAACCCCCTCTATTACACACTTGGCATACACCGAGTGGAATTCCGTCGGTGCAGCCATCCAAACATTCCTCACGATTCTCGCACTCACTCCATCGAGACCCGGAGCCGTGTTGGGCAAGGCCCTGACTATGCCACCCAGGTCCTCAACCGCAAGTGGAGGTGCAGCTCTACCAGAGGGCATAAACGCCGTCAGCATTCGAACCTGCCGGTGGTAAGGCTTGTCACAGCCAGGGTCGTCATCCGGACAGAGCGCAGTCATCAGGCTGTTCATGGCAACTACCAGACTATCTGGGTGCCCACCCGCGAATGCAATCCCATTGATCACATTCGCAGGCGGACGCACCCTCCCGCTGGCCAACCTGTATGCCAGGCCCCAGGGGTCCTCATTGCCAGTATTGGCGACCCTCGTGTGATGCGCCTGCTGCACCTCCACCATCATCTTTCTATATCTCGCACGCACGCTGTGAAAAGCCATTCTGGCTATCTCCTCTGATCTACCACCCAGACGCCTTTTACTCTGCCATACACGCCTGAGCTTGCATTGCAGCTTCCGAGTTTTATCCAGTTCAGAATTCCACCATTCATACCCCGCGGAACCCCTAGGGCGACGCTCCCCTAGGCCTTCCTCCGCGGAGCGGATGATGACCCCTGAGAACTCCTCCGCCAGGAGGGCCGCGGGTTTGTCCACATGCAACCATCCCATTCTTAATTTTATGATCGCCCGGAACCTGTCCCAATCCACCCCCCCGGTCACGAAAACGTGGGGGATCCCTGACGGGTGCAGCGCAAGTAGTCGGCCTGCTGGTAGTGGCCGTGTATGTTATTAAATTATGGTCGCTGGCGCAGATTCCCTCATGCACTCGCCACTCAGCAAGGTATATGTCCCCAGTTGATAATGTTAGGTCCACATTAGATTCTCCACCTGGCCCAGAGAAGGTATAGGGCTGGTCAGGCTGGTTCGCCAACGTTAGTTCCTGTGAGAGTATGAACGCCTCCACTTGCTGCCTCCGGTGTTCTGCAGTATGTCCTCGTCCCACGTAATGTCGGCGATCGCAGTGCCAGAGTGGCGAGTGCGCATTTGCGTCGAGGCCGACGATGACCCTTCTGCCCTTTAGGCAACTCAGGGTGACCTCCAAGTGGTGCAGGTGGTCATCAATGGTGTCACTGTATTTAAAGTACGCTGACACCACGTAGAGGTCCCATCGGTTTACATGGCACACCACACAGAACTCGTTGCTGAGGTGGCGCAGCAAAGCCACTCCAATTGTTGGGTCGGCAAGATAGATGCCAGCCCACGGGTGACCACCCATCTGGACGATTCCTGCAGCCTGGGAGTACTGTTCTTGAACAAGAACAATGTCCAGGTGCAGTTCACGCGCCAGAATAGGCAACTCAGCCGTGGCAAGCTCCCCCCGACCCAAGTTAATCTGCCCCATTTTAATAGTTTGTTCTTTTAAGTAGCTGGACATGCCCTTATCGGCAGTATTGCGTGGTGGCCACGGAGCGTTGCTCTGCATGCAGTCTTGCTGGACAGTTCCTCGCCATGGTCACGTGCGTACCAGAGTCAGGCCTGCCAAATCTCTTGCAGGTAGCGCACTTTTCTTCTTTTGCTTGGCAGGTCCCACGCTCGTGTCCCGTCTCCCCACACTTGCCACACACAATTTCCTTGGACCTGCAGTATTTTGATGGATGCCCGTATTGCTGGCACCTCTGGCAGCACGTGACGTCAACGTAATCGCAGGGCTCGACCACGTCCCAGCCAATGTAGAGACGATTCTGTCCCACTAGCACGTCTCTAAGTGCTGCCGAGCACTGGAGAATGACTGTAGTGCGCCTGCTTCCTCTCCACGATTTTTTAAAAGCCACCTTGCAGTCTGCCTTCACCTTATCCTCGCTCCAGCCGCAGGCAGCAAGGTTCTGCTCGTAGAGGCCGCTTATCACCTCCTCATTTTTGGGGTCCTCCTCAAAACCCCTGAGGGCAACCAGGGGAAGGCGCTGCCTGGGCTCAGACACCCTCAATGATGGAGGGGCTGCAGTTTTTAATTTTTCAGCGGCCTCCTGGGACGTGGTCTGGACCACGACACCTGCATTCCCAACCTTTCTCAGTCGATCAATTTGCAGGCCGCTGGTCTTGGGGTTCACCGCCTTCTTCAGCTCCAGCTTGGTATCCTCCGCAGTCTTAATTGGCCCCTCAGCTTCGGCCGGATAGAAAGCAACTACCGGGCCCTTACTGACAGGCATCAGCACCCGGTCTGCTCCCTTGGGCAGCCTCAATGCAGCCGCGTATGAGCGTTGCGGTGTCGGGTCCGTCGTGTGGCTAGGAACTGTTCCGGCCACGACCTGCGCCAGTCTCCCTTCTGCGACAAGCTTCTCCTTCTCCGCTCTTAGTCTGGCCAGCTCCAACTCTGAAATGTGGACCTCCATGGTCGCCACCATGGCGATAAGGTCATGGCCATATGCTGATACCCTGTTGACCTCCGCCTTGTTGAGCTTGGAGCCGGGTCCTGAAATAATGGTCATTATCCCTCTCACCGTCTCCCGCACCTGGTCGATAACTTCCAGCTTCGAAGCGGTGGTAGCTTTGAAGCTCCCCCTCACACCCCGAGCTGCCTCCCCTGGAGCTGTCCTCTTCTTCTGTTTCAGGAGCAGACTCCTCAACATTCTTTGTTAGAAGCCCTGCTACCGGTGCCACACTACGGCGCGACTCAGTGCGCTTGCCCACCCTTGGTCGCTGGGAAGATGTCTGCATTTCTTCCGGCGAAGCCAGTGGCCGCTTCTCCGGCACTACTGGCGGTGGGGGGGGCACCGCAACCGGCCGGCCGATTGGTCCCGGCGGGGTCCTAGCCAAAGACTTCCTTGGCGTAAATCCCTCATCGTCATCCGCCATTTTAATTAAAGAAAAATTCCACTATATAATGTAAAATTGGAACGCGACCTATCAAAAACTATGACAGGTCACCCTGTCAACGTCACTGTCTATGGAAGTGTCACCCACAATGACAGCTGCCAACGTC